TTCTTCAAGGACGACAATGATCCAGAAATGTCAAGGTGGGATTTGGCTAGCAACATAAAAGGGTGAAGAAGTAAAAGGAATTGTTCTGTTTACTGTTGCATTTCCTGTCTGTGACTATCAGACAGAGCCTGAGTGTTCTGTGGTCCCCGTGCTACTGTCCATTGTTGGCAGGGCTCTGGAGCTGAACAGGGAGACCAGAGTGTGAAAGGTGTTCAGGAAACTTACTGAAAGCCATTAAAATATTTTTAGAGAGATAAGAAGTCATTAAAATGTCTTGGGAGCTATAGTCTGAGACAAATATAAGAGCATGCTGGGTTTAATCAGGCAGAATAGCAATGGCTAAAGGAAGTAAAATGCAGTCTGGGTGGGATTCAGAATTTCCCTTTATCCAAAGTGGATTAAAAGTTAGGTGAGGGCTGTCAGAGCCAAATGGATACTTCGACACGCTGCCTTTGTGAGCTGGAGAGTTAAGAAAATCGAACACTTCAATTTTCTGTGATAGACCAGAATTTTCTGTGATGGACAAGAAATAACAGGGACATCTGCATAGCCCTGGTCCCCCAAACAAATGAAACCTGGAGCATTTCCCTATTTTCCTGATTCCTGAATGGAAAGCAGCATTATCCCTTATTTTTGTGATTCTGCTGTTAGGAGATATGACAGGACCATTGTTGTCATAATCCAGTGACAACGTTGCTGTTTCCCTCTTCTGTGGTTTCTTTCCTTTCCACTTTGTCCTGTTGTGTACCTGTTGCAGTTTTGTTGTTGTTAGGCTCGTCATACCTTGACTCTCTTGCAAATTTTCTTGGCAAGTATATTTTTCTCTCTTTTGTAAGATCCTTTGGTCTCCAAGTGCTTTTTCCACAAGGTATAACTAGATCTCGGGAGACTAGTTGCAAAACCAGTCCCATTTGAAAGCAGTGAACGTGGAGTTGCTTGTTGTTAGAGGGACTACAATAGGGCCTCAGCGAGGCATCCGAAGAATCACCTTCCTCAGAGGGGAGCAGGAGCAGGTTAAGAATTCACCTGCATTTGTTGGTACAAAGAGATGGCCTGCACAGAGTCACCCATGCATGAACAAGATGAAGAAAGTAAGAGGCAACCTTGCAAATGTTCTGGGATGAACACAGAGTGCAAAACCCAAGTGAAAAACTCAGTATGGAAGAAGTCACATCCCAGTGTCAAAGCGATATTCCCTCCAAGTCTTTCAAACCCTACTATTTCATAAATGTAAGAGCCAATTGAAATGCACTCAAATGCAATAAAACAGAATGAGATAGAAAGCAGGGTTGCAGGGCTAAGGAAACAGGCTGAGTCATGCTTACAGAGTCACCACCTAGAAAGAGCAAGAGAGACCTGGAAAATGGCTGAGACCCGCTCCACAGCCCTGAGGCCTCTCCTTAAACCAGTGGTTCTCAGCCTGGCCACAGCAGCTGGGAACTTGGTAGGAATATACATTTCTGGGCCCCAACTCTGGGCAATGTTTTAACCCACCCTCCACGTGGTTCTGACACCCTCTGACATCTGGGAACCACTGGACTAGATTCTTCTCCCTCTCAGGCTGGAGTTTTGGCACAGCAAAATTGCTTGGCTTGATTCCAGAACAAGACACTTTCTTACAGGGAGGTTCTAATCAACTCTCCTCAAGCACAGGAACAGGCTCAGTCCACAACACTGAAATTCATTCATTCATTCCACAAACATTTATTAAGCATTAAGCGCCAAAGCAGACATTCACCAGTTTTGGACAACTTTGTCCTGGACTAGCTGGCCATGAGGGTCAGAAGCATCTGGAGGCAGGAGGGCCAAGTAGACAGGGGTCTCAGCGCCCTCCTCTGCAGTCCTGGAGCTGTAAGCCCCAGCCATGTCCATCTTCATGCTCTCAGGGCAGCACGCATTCAGCAGAATCCTGTCGGCTTTTCTCTTCTCATCCAGACGCTGAGCCAATATTCTTGATAAGACAGTGACCCCCAGCTTGGACACCCCATAAGCTGAGTTGGGCCAGCCTTCCCTCTCATGCACTTCGTTTTTTGTATCCTCCACAAACTTTTTCATGAGGTCCACTAGCCCCTCCTCTGTGAGTGTCTCACATCGGAACTTCTCCTGCAGATCTTCACTGCAATTTTCAAGAGCTTTTGCACCTGCTGAGCAACTGACATTCACCACTCTGCCTGAAATAGAGTAATAAAAATACAAATACACAATCATTGGTTGACTATACCAAACACGCAGCTGAGTCACGGTGCAGGTTGAATTGTTGATAAGATGATTCTAGAAGGCACTGGTGGGTTTCAACCTTTTAAAAATTCCCTGTTCTCCCAAAGGGAAGAACACATTTCCATCAGTAACAGGGTCTAAAGAGCAGGGATTGTCTACTAGGTGAGCAGGGGTAGGTCTATAGTAGAATCACCAGGTAGTTTAATAAAAAACACCCCTTTCCACACCCAAACACCGGCTCTAGGGCTTGTGAAATTCTTTCCTAGAGCCTTTCCTAGAAATTGCCTTCACCCTGAGGATTGAAGCTTCCTATTGGTCTGCACAATTTCCTGGGGCCTTGGGTAGCTGCCTCTTTATCCCTGAGTGTCAAAAATCAGGGTTGAAAAATGCCTCCGGGATAACCCTTGTCTATTCTTAGTGATGGATACTTTCAATGTGGAGGGGTTAATTCTCCATCCGGTTTTGATTTTCATTACTTTTGCAGCCCATAGTTAATAAATAATTACTTAAATATATAACAAATAAATTAATGAATACATTAATATTCATATTAACAATAATTCACAGCTACTGAAGAGACAGTTCTGTCCATAAAAACATATACAAATACAGGCCAGAGACTATAAAACAATTTGAAGCATTGCCGGAAACCCCAAAACCAGTTAATGTGTGAATTTACATATCAAAACACCAAACAACCAAAGTTCTTTTTTTTTTTACATATTATCCTAAATCCACATCCTGGGCATCTGACAGGATAACTAGGTTTTATTTTACTGAGTGGCATTCGCCACAGGCACACACATTGGGGTTGGGGGGTGGGTCACACATCCTGTTCCCCTGGGCCGACTCCATCGGGATGCACCTGCACTCTATCCTTGAACAAGAGCACCTCACTTACCCCTGGGTAGCTAAGATCCTTCAGTATTTTCTTTCTTTCCTTCTCTAGTATATGTTTCTTTCCCAACTTTTAACTTTGAAAAATTTGAAACCTTCAGAGAAGTTGCAAGAATAGGTCAATACACACCCATATACTATTCACTTAGTTCTTGTGGAAATTAACAACAGGGAAACCTCAGCAACCTGGAGTTGGGAGAGCTCCCATGCCCACCACTCCTCATTGATTACAGAAGGAAAGTCAATTACACTTTGCAAGTCACACTGTTGAACTATTTTACTACGTAGCAGGAGGAGGGAAGAGTTTCTGCCTCCCTAGGGCAACAGCCCAGCCAAGAAGAGACAGTCACAACTCAGCCAATGAGCAGCCACAACATGTGGGGCTCCCAGTTTCCTTCAATGGACTGTTTTTGCCCCTTCCTCTGTAAATGAGCCTCCTCTTTTTCATTCTCAGGACAAGCCTGTGGTTTTGCCATAGCTCTCGTCTTGAGTTGCAATTTTCAGCTGTTCCCAAATTAACCTATTATTGCTGGTAAAATAATGGACAGTTTTATTTTTAAGGTTAACATCCCCAGCTGTTAACATTTGCTTTCTCTCAATTGCAGACAGATATCATAAACCTTCATGACAAAAACTCCAGTGTACATATATGGTAACAAGGGCATTCTGCTACATAATGGTGATTACACGCAACACTGTTTTCTACAGAACAGTCCATATTCAAACGTCCCCAGTTGTCTCAATAATCTTCCCTTATAGGTTTGGTGTATTTTTATCCAATGGGCTGCATTTAGTGGTCATATCCCTTTACAGTGTATTTTAATCTAGAGTCGTTGACAATGGTCTTTTTGAAGACTAGGTCCCCCCACCCCCACCCCCTGCCTTTAGATTGGCATGACTTCCTTATGATTAGTCACTTCAACATTTTGGCCAGGAATACGACCTCAGTGATTTGTTCTCTACTTTTCAAACAGCTTTGTTCTCAATCAGTTGGCTGCTACAGGGACTTAAATTCAAAAGGAAAAGGAAGAACAAACAGAAAAAGAAATTACAGGAGTTACTCTATGACTTTGGTGGAAATTAGAAGCCTCCTAAGAGGAAGAGGTGTCCCCTTTGACCTCAGGGCCCACCTCTGGCAGGCAAGCCACGGGTGGCAGTCTCAACAGCAGGGTGGAGTCAGTCAGCCCTGGGAAGGCTGTGCCCACACCACCTACACCAACCTTTGCTGAGGTGCAAGTGGCTCCACCAATCCAGAAACAAGCCCGACCCCATTCTACAAAGAGTGGGCAAGTAGCTCCCCCTAGTGGCTCAACAGTTGATGAACCTATTTACTCCAAATCTTGCACAAATAAGCAGTAAGGATAGCTTGTTTTAAAGTGATATAAGGTTAAATAGAGAGTGGCTATTTAGTCAGTTTTGTATGGGCAGAAAGTGATTCCCTACAAACCAAGAGCCAATCATCCTCAGCGTTTAGTTTGCCAAGTAAACATGAGGTTTACTGAAGAGTCACAAATATTATTATCAATGTGTTGTAGACCAGAGATTCCCACTTTGGTAATCACTATTACAGAGAAGTGGTAAAAGGCAGTTATTCACCTGCTCTGGGTTGATTGCTAAGCCCCACCTTTCCCAGGGCCTTCTTTTATCTGTCAAAATGGCTTGGTTTGCCATCATTTGATGCTATGATTCTTCCTTCACCAGAACTAATTATCCTGATATGATTGAGGGGTAGTCAGGAAACCTGGTTACTGTTTCCAGCTCTATTACTACCTGGCAGTGTTCACGTCTCTGGACCTCATTTCCTCTTCTGCAAAGTGAAGGTGTAGGAATGTGAGGTTTCTTCAACACCTTGCAGTTTTCAAATTCTATGATTCTAAAATCCACAGGGAGAAGACTTCCTGATACTTGGTAAAACATATCTCTACAATGGAATACTATGTAGCTGTAAGAAAGAATAAGAAAACTTTGTGTCCTGATCTGGAAAGAGACCCAAATAAAGTAAGTGAAGAGAGCAGGGTGGCAAGCATTCTCCCTAATGTTCCTTTCTGTATAAAAATGGGGACAAAAAGAATGCATTTATATTTGCTTAGATTTGCACTTAAAAACTCCATCTCCTGGTTCCTGGGACTCACCAACTCCATGCATCTGGACCCCAGGCAGTATCTGCAACTCTACCTGCAGGCCTTCAAAGATCCCATCTCACTAAGAAACCAATAAAGAGGATTACCTGTGTGGTTGGGAATAGGAATTGGGCAAGTGGGGGACAGGAGTAAGGGTGTAACTCTCACCATGCATCTTTTTAGATTTTAAGATTTCTGCACTGGGGATCACCTTGATTCAACATGCTCAATTAAGAAAAGTACATTTTAAATAAGAAAGACAGTTGACTTCTTGGGGAAGAAAATCCCCAGGGAAGCAAGTCTTAGCCCCCTCCTAGCACAGTTGTGATTTACACTTAAAATTCTTGTCAATGCTGGGCTCCTCCACCAGTCTCAGTGCTCTATGGACACCACAGTACCAGACGTCCACAGTGCTTACCACTGTATCCCCAGCAACCAGCGGAAGGCCTGGGTTATGGCAGGCCCTCAATATTTGTGGAAAAAGTATTAAAAGTTATTTATTGAATACTTGGGAGTGGGGGCAAGATATTTCCTAGTAAAGAAAAATTTCTTTTGGATGTTCTGAATCAGCCTGACAAAGTTTGGTACAAGAAGAAAGCAATACAGGGAAAGTCATGATAATGCTAGATAAATCCTTTTCCTTAGGCCCCCAAGATGAGCTGGGTGTGGCCCTGTCATCTTGGAGGGTTGAGAAGGACTCACTGAGGTTGCTCAAAGGCAAGAAGGCTTTTGGGACTTGCAAACCTTTATCATTCATTCTAGGGCTGAGTTCATGACATGGGACCAAAGAGCACTGCCCCATATCATACATATGTTTTAAAGTTAAAGCTAATGTGTGCAGGTAAGGGGCCAGCTACTGTAAGAAAAGAATGCAGGTTTCTATTTTTCCCCCTACAGAGAAATAGCACCCCTGGGTGGTTCTCAAGGAACAGCCCCGTGCTCACTCTTGCTGATGGATGCCACCTGACAATTCACACGGCTGGACTTACCATGAGGTTTGATTATCGGCAGTAATTCGATGCAGACATTTCTCGTGGCAAAGAAGTTTGTCTTCAGTGTCACCTCAGCTTGAATGTCAAAGGGTGTTGGATCACCATCTTGCAAAAAGAGAAGGAATCAAAGTCAAAGTCAGGCACTTCCTCCTGAAATTCACATGACAAATGGGAGCTTATCTCTAATTAAAGGAAAAACAAGCTAAACGATTTTTAAGCCACTAGGTGGGTGGTTCTCAAACTTCAGGGCTGGGTCTGAATCACTGCATGGCCTGTTAAAACAGCTTTCTGGGCCCCACCCCCGGAGTCTGGGATTGAGAAACTCTGGGGCAGAGTTCCATAATTTGCATTTCTAAGGAGTTCTCTGGTGACGCTACAGCTACTGGTCTGCCAGCCACAGTGACACACTCCTGGCTTTGACCGCTGCTGCTCTTAATTGAACAGGCATAGGAGGTACCTGGGGATTCTGTTAAAATGCAGATTCGGACTCAGCAGGTGTGGGACAAGGCCTGAGATCCTGAGATTCCAAGAGTGTCCAGAGTTCCAGGAGCTGCTGGTCCAACCGCCCACACTTAGAGGGACAAGGGCTTCCAGCGGACCTCAGGGTTTCTCCACGTGTCGTCCAGAAAGCGGAGTTTCAATCCACCAACCCTTCAACTAGTGGCCGAGGGCTGCTTCGGGGGTGTCAGCCACCTCCTGCCAATGCTCTCAGCAAGCCCACAGGCTGAGCTGCAGGAAAATTTAGGCTTCACAGGAGTTCTTTTTACTCCATTCTGCCTCCTAAAGTTTCTCTTCTCTAGTTAAGTGAGGGTGGCCTGATTCTTCCCATCCCAGCACATGGCAGTTCAATAACTTCCTCCATCGAGTAATAGAGTAAGTGATCTCCTTGACATTTTTTCACCCCAAAGGAAGATGCCACTTAAAGCCACATGCTGTACATTTGATAACAAACCTAAGTTCCTGGGGGAGGGAACCAGGCTCTCTTCCGTTTTGCCAGAGCCTATCAAATCTCTCATTAAACAGTCTCAAGCCCACTAATGGGTAAATTCGCGCCTATCTTGTTCCAGCGATTCCTTTCCTGCCCGGAGTACATGCCTCCTGCCATTTATGAATGCACTCTCCAAGGAAAGCGAAAGCCCAAAGTGAACTTGGAGACCATTCGCCGAGAAAATGTTTTTTGCATGAGACAGAAAGCTTATGAGCTTTGCAGGGCGTGGCCCCATCCTAGGAGGCCGGTTTTCTTGCAAACCAAGCAGCTGACAGTTCTGGGAGGGCTCTAGGCTGCGCTCCAGGGGGCTGGCGGGCTGGGCGCGAGGAGCCGGGCGCCCGGGAGCACCGGCGAGAGCGGCGGGCGCTGCCTATCGGATCACTCAAGCGTACGCCTTGGGGGTGCCGGCGGCTCGCTGCCCTGCACCCTCCGCGCGCCCAGGGACCTCCGAACCCCGGACCAACCTGTGAAGGCGACGCCCGCGTTGTTGACCAGCACGTTGAGGCCCCCGTAGTGCTTGCGCAGGAAGTCGCGCAGAGCGCGGATGCTCTGCAGGTCGTCGATGTCCAGCAGGTGGAAGCGCGGGCTCAGGCCCTCGGCCTGCAGCTGCTGCACGGCCGCCTGGCCCCGCGCCGCGTCCCGCGCCGTGAGCACCACGTCCCCCGAGAACTGCCGGCACAGGTCGCGCGCGATGGCGAAGCCGATGCCCTTGTTGGCTCCGGTGACCAGCGCCACGCGGCTGCAGGACGACATGGCTGGGTGGGAGGCGCACGGGGCGCGGGCCGAGGAGAGCGGACTGGGCTGTGGGTCACCGCGGGCGCGCGCTGCGGAGACCCGGCCACAGTCAGAGAAGCTGCACAAAAGTGTGTTCTGGGATCCAGTGCTGCGACTTCTAGAGACCGAGGCCGCGAGGCTCGGTCCCTCCCCTCTGAGGAGTGGCCGTCTGTTCCCGAAGGTTTCGTAACGCCTCGCTCCCGGGTCCAGCCCCTCCCCGTGCTGCGTCCTTTTTTGATCCGGCGTCTGAGCCACAGGGTGGTCCGCGGGCGAAGCCGTTGGTTAGCCCCAAAGCAAGACCGGACGGTGAGGGGTTGATGGGGCCTGAAGATTCACTCGGATTGAAGAAACTACTACTTCAGGAAAGCCCCAAAAGGAGAAAAGCCAGTGCTGAGTAATTTTCCTGGGTGTGTGCCCATCATCCCCCGCAAAATGAGATTGCTTCCTTTTTCCTCAAATGCGACAAAATTACTTAGACACGGTGAGTGCTTCTCAGGACATGGATCCCCTTTCTTGCTTAAGCAAGAAGAGAGAAAAGAGGCCCCACGAGTGCATTTACAGGTGTGGACAGCGTACGGTGCTCTGTGTGACTCCTTCTGCGCCCCGAAGCGGGAGGGAATGTTTACGAAGCTCTTACTGTGTGCCAAGCCACTTTCTGGAATGATTTTAATGAAATCCTTACGTAAGTCCTATGGATGCTAAGTGTCTGCGTTTCCGGTTTGTCCAAGGAGGACATATATAATTTATTTTCTCCCAGTGAATCGGTGTACTCTCACAGTTCAGCTGAAAATGAATCCCCAAAGGTGTGTTAAACTGTGGATAGGCAATTGGAATTTCCTCACCTTGTCTTAGTGTAATCTGTGTTTGATTAGTTACTTTTAGGTTTATGGAGAGGTGTGATCTCATTATGAACCAGCTTTTCCTGAGAGCTGGCTAGGCTGTTTACGCCTCCATCACCTCCACTCTACCTGGTCCATCAAATCAGCAAGGGAGGTCGGGAAGGTGAACGCTTGCTGTGTGTGGTCCGCTGCTGGGGCTCCACCGATATATTCTTTACTTCTAAAGTTTATTTGGAGCTCTAGTGTAAAGACAAAGAGCTATTCAGATTTTCTATTTCTTCTTGAGTGAGCCTAATTTGTGTTTTTCAAAAATTGTGTGTATTTCATCTACACTATTGATTCTGTTGACATGAAGTTATTCATAATAAGCCCTTATTAATCCTTTTAATATTGGTAGTGAGGCCATCTCGCTCATTCCTGATATTGGTAATTTGTGTCTTCCATATTTTTTTTTCTGATTTGTGTGGTGAGAGGTTTGTCAATTTTATTGATTATCCTCAAGGAAGAAGCTCTTGGTTTCATTTTTTTTCTCTATTTTTTTCTGATTATATTTCTGCTCTAACCTTTATTTCCTCCCTTTTGCCCAATTTGGGTTTTATTTGCTTTTCTAGTTTCTTACCATGGAAGCTGAGATCATTTTTTTTCTAACGTAGGCATTCAGAGCTGTTAATTTCCTATGTTAGTGGCATCATATAAACATTGATATGTTGTGTTTTCTTTCAATCAGTTTAAAATATTTTCTAATTTACATTTTTGTATTTTCCTTGACCAAGGATATTGAAAAGTATATTTTTTAGTTTCCAGCTTTTTGGGGATTTCCTGGATATCTTGCTATTATCGATTCTGAATTGAATTTAATTCCATTGTAACTAGCAGACATACACTGTATGACCTGAATTGTTTTCAAAGAATTTTAAAAGGTGGGAGAGGTATTAAAGCATGTTTTTACGCAGTGGTAATAATCTCAAAGAGAGGAAAAATTGGTGAAGGAGAGAAAGGGAATAATTCAAGAACAAAATTTATGGGAAGGTGAGTGCAAATGGGATCTGGGGTTCAGATGGGGGTTCTGCCTGGGAAGCAGGCACCCCTTGTAACAGGAGGAAGGACAGCATGTTGGGTGGCTCTGCTTGGAACGTTATATTTTCTCTTGGAAAGATGAGAGTTTTGAGGTCACTGGCAAGAGGGATCATTGTGGGAGACCTGAGGGAAGAGCAATCATCTTGCAGAATGGGAAAGTGAATGTATTATGGCAGCTCTGACTAGCAGAACCTGGGGCCTGTTAGTGATCTGTAGTGATAAATGTCAAGAGAACAGGATCAGCTTCCTGCAATTTCTCCAGCACCTCTAGCTGCTAGTGCCACCTGGTGCTGGTGGGCAAGTTGGAGGGTTGATTTTGCCAGGCTCACACAACAGAATGAAGAATGTTTGTAAGGGTGGGATTACAGTGTGGGGTTATGGCCTCTAAGGATGGAAGAAAGGACATGAGAAAGTTGGAGATTTATAACAAGTGGAAAAGAGTAGGGTTGATGGGATGGAAGTCTTTGAAGACAGGGCACTGCTGGAGGAAGCCAGGTCCTGGGGGTCAGTGTGTGATGCTTTGAGGTGGAGGCTTCAGAGTTGTGCCAATGAATCACATGAAGGGGGCAGGGAAATCTTGATGTAAAGGAGGTCAAGGGACTGGGAAGCCAGATTACTGGTTGGACCTGCATATGGCTTGTGACCGCTTCAGAAATGAGGACAGGCATGGAGGTGAAGGAGAGATGAGGAGCCATGTGCTGGCCTCAAGGTGTGCACCCTTAGCTGTTGCTGTCCTGAAATTCTTGAGATCTTTAAAGAAGTGCCTCCATCTTCATTTTGCCCCACAAATTATGTAGCACACCCTCAGTGAAGGGGTGTGAAGAGTAGTTTGGGGAAGCTATCACTCTTGGCAGGGGTTCCCAACTTGTTGATATTAGAATCACTTGGGGATGTTTAAAAACAAATAAAACAGTGCTTGGCTCCATCCCCAGATACAGTGATTGAATCGGTTTGTGGTGTGCTTTAAAAAGCACTGGGAGTTTTAAAAGCTCTCTTGCTGATTCCAACGTGCAGCAAATTTGGGACCTGTTGGATTGTCGTAACCAGAAAGGGGGATTGGTCAAAGTGAAATAATCTTCAAAAGAGTTGGTGTTTTTGAAAGAGAAAAGAAGAGGAAGGGTTTGGAAATGGCATAGGTTATTGTGGCCAACAGAACAATGCTCCCTGCCACCCATCTTCAAAGGTGTTCATGTCCTAGCTCCACAACCTGTGGATGTCACTTTACAAGGCAGGAGGGACTTTGCAGTTGTGATTTAATCAAGGATCTTGTAAGATCTAGTGGGGAGGTTATCCCGGATTATCTTGCTGGGCCGGATGTAATCCCAAGGGTCCTTCTCAGAGGGAAGCAGGAAGGTCAGAGTCTGAGAAGGAGACATAAGACAAAAGTAGAGGAGAGAGAGATCAGAGATGCTACTCTGCTGGTTTGGAAGATGGCCAGGAATGTAGGCAGCCTCCAGAGACTGGAGAAAGCAAGGAAATGGGTCCCCCCTGAGAGTGCAGCTCTCTTGACATCATGATTTAGGATTCTGACCTGCAGAACTGTACGATGATAACTTTGTATTGTCTTAAGCCACTAAGTTTGTGTTAATTTGTCACAGCAGCAATTGGAAACTACTGATGTCACTGAGGATCGCCAGCACACTCCAGGACTGAGGAAAAAACCCTTCACCTGTACCCAGCAGAGCATTGAACAAAGAATTTGAATGCTGGACAGATTTTTTAAGGACAGGACTGGTTTGGGGGAAAAAGCTTGGATATATTTTCTAAGGGTTGAAAAAGAATGAATTAAAGGGGAAAAGCCACAGGACACCAGGTGTCTCATGAAAAACTGGACCAGGTCTGAGGATCTGTGTTAACTGAAGGCAGGAGTTGGACAAGCTCCCATGCCTGAGCCCAACTCCCACCATCTACATGGCCATGGGTGCCTACTCGGGAGAGTCCCGGGTCCGGCCTTTTTCTCCTTCAGTTCCACTATCTCCCTTTCTGTTTCTGAATCATCAGGGTAAGAATGAAAGTGTTCCCCAGAACACAGGAAGGGTTCTTCTTCTTTAAAAGGCTATCATCTGGGGGACTGGATGCCCACGGCACTCACTCATCGCATCCCTCCAGTGAATATTTGTTCACCTGTTCCGTTCCAGGCGTATTTGGGAGTAAACAGGCCAGGGGAATGCTCCCTGCCCCCTGGAGCTGCTCTCAGCTCTGCTGCTTACAGGCTGTGTAGTCTTGGGCACGGTTCTCAGTCTCTGAGTGCCTCAGTTAGCCCGTTCGTAAAATGTGGACAATTAGAGGGCTTAGTTCTTATGATTGCTGTAGGATGCAATGGACTTGCAAATGGAATACTATATTAATATTTGCTGTTGATTATATTCTCCAGCAAGGGGAAGCAGACAGTCATCTAAAACCAACACATTTGCTTATAGCCATTTACTCAGGTTCCCCAGATAAGACAGCAGAGGACTAGAAGGTCCTGACTTGGCAGGTATTCCTGGCTTGAGGCAGGTAACAGTGTAGGCAGAGAGGGCTGCCGAGGAGAACCTGTCCCCAGCCGCGCCTTACAGGAAACACTACTGATTCCCATCAGCTCCTCAGAACATTTGGGCTGTGAAGGCAGGCCCAGGCAGGAGTGGGACTCATTGTCTTCCTGGAAGCAAGATTAAGGTCAGGTTCCTGAGTCAAATGAAGAGACCAACAGACAGTTTGGGAGCTGTGCCCTGCTCTTCTCATCCCCAGTTCATCAGCCCTTCCCTGCCCAGGTGTGGACAGTAAAGTGGCTTAGGGTCAGAACCATAAAGTAAAGTGGTCTGAGTGCCAGGCAGGTGGCTGGGAGACTCCGGTGCAGCCCCATCTTCCTCTCTGGAGCTATGGGTCTGAGTGCTGAGGCTGGGGTCATCCAAGGGCCACAGGGCTTGACCAGGCAGGCAGGAGGCAGGACAGGCTGATGTTGGATGGCTGTTCTTTTTTTTTATTATACTTTCTTTTACTGTGGTAATTAGCTTATGAAATATACCATCTTAGCCATTTTAAGTGTCTAGTACAACAGCGTTAGCTATGTGCATGTTATGCAACAGATCTCTGGAACTTTCATCTAGCATAACTGAAACTCTGTACCTCCATGGCTTTCCATTTCCCTCTCCCCACAGTCCCTGGGTATCACATTCTACTTTCTGTTTGAACAAAGTTGACTGCTTTAGATGCTTCATAGAATGGACCTCAGGGTCTATCTGCATTGTAGCAAAGGATTTCCTTCCTTTTTGTGGCTGAATAATACTCCATTGCATGAGTATTTTTATCCATGAGAATCTTTATCCATTCATCTGTCAATAGTCACTTATGTAACTTCCACCTCTTGGCTATAGTCAATAATGCTGCAGTGAACATGGGTGTGCAAATTATACTTTTTAAAGTACAATTATTGCTAGGGGACTTAGAAATCATGGGTCCAGCTCTGTGATTTTGCACATGAGGAAATGAAGGCCTCCAAGTGGTCGCACTCCATGTCTCTGCCCGAATTGGAATGGAAGTGAATCTTCAAATTCCCATTTTAACTTCTCTTTCTGCTACATCATTGTCTTAACTGGAACCAAGTTTAGAACTGCTTAGCAGGTCCACTCATGTCTTATTCCGATTAAACCACCCAGGAGGGTCATCACATTTTCCCCCAGCTTTTAACATATAATCTTGTATAGTTTAAGGTGTATAACATAATGACTTTATGTATATATAGAGAAATGATCACCACACTAAGTTTAGTTAACATCCATCACCACACATTGCTATACTTATTTTTCTTCGTGATGAGCATTTCCAAGTTCTACTTTCCTAGCAACTTTAAATACACAAAAAGTATTGGTGACGATAGTCACCACCCTGTATATTTCATTTCCAGGGCTTATCTTATAACTGGAGACCATCTTCACCCATTTCACCCCCACTCCCGCCCCTATTTCCCCCTGTCAACAGCTGGTCTGTTCTCTGTATCTATGAGTTTGCTTTGTTCTGTTGTTTTGTTTTTTAAAGTCCACATATAAGTAAGATCATACAATACTTGTTTTTCTCTCAGCTATTTCTCTTAGCATAAAGCTCTGAAGGTTCATCCATGTTGTCACAAATGGCAGGATTTCCTTATTTTTTATGGCTGGATTATATTCCATTGTGTATGTGTGTGATATATATATATATATATCTCACATTTTCTTTATCTACTTATCCACTGATGGACACTTAGGCTGTTTCCATGTTTCCATGTCCTGACTGTTGTAAATAATGTTGCCATGAGCATGGGTGCAGATATCTCTTTGAGGTAATGATTTCATTTCCTTTGTATATATACCCAGAGGTGGGATTGCTGATTTTAGGGTATCTCTACTTTTAATATTTAAGGGAAGCTCTCTACTGTTTTCTATAGTGGCTGTACCAATTTACATTCCCTCCAACAGTGCATTCTCACTGACACTTGTTATTTCTTGGCTTTGTGATGATAGCCATTCTAACAGGTGTGAGGGACTATCTCATGGTTTTGATTTGCATTCCCCTGATAATTAGTGACGTTGAACATGTTTTTACATATCTGTTAGTCATTTGTACATTTTATTTGGAAAAATGTCTATTTAGGTCCTTTGTCCGTTTTTAAATTGGATGATTTATTTTTCTGAGTTATATTGACTCTCTTTAACCATATATTTGATAAGGGCTATTAACCCCTTATCAGATATATGGGTTATCAGATATATGGTTTGCAAATATTCTTTTCCCATTTTGTAGGTTGTCGTTTCTTCTTGTTAATGGCTTCCTGTGCTGTGTGGAAGCTTGTTGGTTTGGTGGAGTCCCACCTGTTTTTTATTTTATTGTTGTGCCTTAGGTGTCATATAAAAAAATCATTGCCAAGACCCATGTCAAGGAGTTTTTTTTTCCTATATTTTCTTCTGGGGTTTTTATGGCTTTTGGTCTTACATTTAAGTCTTTAATCTGTTTCAAGTTAATTTTTGTGAATGGTGTAAGAAGGGAGTCTAGTTTCATTTCTTTACATGTGAATATCCAATTTTCCAAGCACCATTTAATGAAGAGATGGTTTTTTCTCCAGTAATTATTCTTGTCAAATATTAGTTGCCTGTGTATGCATAGTGTGAAGATGACTCTTGAGGCTACCATGGTGGCTGTCCTTCTGGCACCCTGGCATTGGTTTCTGGCCTCTATATTCAGAGACTCAGGGGAAGGGGTGCTACCCGTTGTAAACACTGCAGAGTTGGAGCAGAGACTAGAGAGATGCAGCCACAGCAAAGGAGCCCCAAGGAGCACCCTGCAGATGTGGTGTGAATCAGTGTAAGTGTGCTGTCTGAAGGGCTGGGCTTCATGCCAGAGAGGGGAGTTGGCCATGCTAGTTTAGAGAAGTGTTTCTGGAAGGCTGGGGATCTTTAGCACCCATCATGCTGGTGAACCAACTGAGCTGGGAAATGTGGGTCTAAGGGCCTTTAGCCCTGCCCTTGGGATCCATGTCACTGCTTGTTCTACAGCAGTATTTTCAAGGCTTGGGCAAAACAGCTGTTTTTATACATTTCTGATAGAAATGTGATATAGTAGTACCTCTTGGGAGGGGAACTAGGAATTTGTTGAAATCAAAAATAGCCACCTCTTTCTGGAAAAGAAATTGTTGGGAGAATATATCCTAAATATACCCTCCCATGAGTATGAAGTGATGGCAGACAAGGATGTTCTTTCAAAGCATCTCCCAGCCAAGTTTACTGCAAAGGTCACAAATTATCCAGCAAAATGATAATGGTTGTGAATCTTTACAGTGATTAGATTATAACTTGTTTGCCATCATTAAAAAGGCACAAGTATTTATATAACATCTGAACACTATTTGCATGGCTTTCTCTGTGAACTTGTTTATTTTTGGGCCTCCGTGTATGTGTATGCAGTGCTTGGTAGTAGACAGTGCCCCCTGGTGGTCTAAAGGCTACACTTCATGGCATCTGGCTCCGTTCGTTTCCTGTGGCTGTCATACAAAGGATCACAGAGTGAGTGGCTTAAAACAATAGAAATGTATTCTCCCAGCGCTCTGGAGGCCAGAAGTCTGATGTCAAGGGGTTGACAGAGCCATGCTGCCTCTCAAGTCTGATATCAAGGTGTTGATAAGGCCATGCTCCAGCTCTAGCAAAGAATCTTTCTTTGCCTCTTCCAGCTTCTGGGATTGCAGGGCATCCTTGGTGCCCCTTCCCTGGGGCTGCATCTCTCCAGTGTCTGCCTTCTTCTCTCCAGTGTCTACCTTCATCTCTCCAGTGTCTGCCTTTTTCTCTCCTGTGTGTCTGTGTGTCCTCTCCCCTCCTTATAAGGACACCAGTCATTGGATTTAGGGCCCTCCCTAGTCCACTTGACCTTATCTTAGCTAATTACACCTGCAAAGACCCTATTTCCAAATTAGATCACGTTCTGCAATTGTGGGTGGACATGAATTTTGGGGGAACACTATCCTCCTACAGAATCTTTCCTTAAATTTTTAATTAATTTGTCTAAATTAGTCTAATAAATGACTTAGTCGTGACTTGTTTATCATGAATAGTAATTCTTGCTTGAATGCATAACATTTAGTCTTCTTTTGACTTAATTTGCTCTTACAGTCATACTGTTTCCTCTCATCATGAAAATTATATATGATATTTTTACTATAGTTTTTGTATCTGGTATTAGATGTGTCTAAAGAGAACTTAATTGGATTGTTAACTTTTTCTTCCCTTCTTTCCTTCCTCCTTCCCTGGCTTTTAAAAAATGAGAGCAACTCTTTTAGTGAGTTCTTGCTCAGAGCCAGGT